AAGGGGCTACATTAGGAGTTTTAGCCACCATAAATCAGTAGGCTAAATAACTTTAATCTAAAATTTCATTAAGTAGTCCTTGTCAGGTAGTAAAAGGAGGGGATAATGCAGTGGTGTTTAATGATAATTGGTGTTTGGTTAATAAATTCTGCGAGTTCCGATTACTTTCTAGCAGTCGGTGGAATGCTAGCCTCAGCAGTGTAACTAAACCTCAAATTGATTAACTCGCCTGGACCAGACTGTTCACAAAGATGGCACTGGTCCAAATCAAAAAAGAGAGAGTGCAGTGTGCGCATCAGCCGGATGGTGTTGTGTTGCTCCAGCGTAAGGAAATCAGCTCCCCCCGGGCGCATTTTTAAAAGCCTAATGCCTTTCAAATGATGTCATCACATTTTACCTTCTCTCTCTCTCTCTCTCTCTCTCTCTGCTGTTTACTATCTAAATCCAAATGTTTCTCTCACATTTTCCTCGGGTGCTACAGAGGAAGGAAGGTCAATGACTGACTGTGGCACGTGACACATTATTCTAATGGATAGGGGAGACATCTTGTGTTTTTATGATTGCTTCTTTTCTCTTTTTTTCCCTCTGGGGGGGAGGTTGTCATAGTGGGTCTTTGTTGTTGTTTCTTTTTTATTAGTGGGAACAGGGTGTGGTCCATCTGGAGAGATTTGAGAGGTTGTACACACACTCACACATGCATTTAATGTCACTGAGACAAACATATTTTCCTTTACCTCCCTTTTATAGACACACACACAGCAGCTTCCATAATAGTGTGTGTACTGTATGCCAAAGAGACCGAGCAGGCAGCAGGGTGAGCGACACACCTCCTCCCAGATGGCTTTTCCCAGTGGCCTCCTGTCCGCTTCCAGTCTATTGTTCTGGCATGTTCTATAACGCCGGTCCAGTAAATCGCCTTAAACACCTCACTTTACACGTATGTGCCATTAACTGCCACGGTTTGTTGCGACAAACTCAATGGACAATGAGATATGGATATTGATATGTCGTGTCACGCGCTTGGAGATGCTCTTTATTATTGGTTACGGCAGCAAAAACCTCATAAGCGAATCCAGTGGTCGATGAAATATTTATGGAGATGGAGATGATTGATAGCAGCGTAGTTTCAATAAGCAAGTTAATCATAAATTACAGATGTAACTTCATTATCCCCATGTCTAATTAGTCAGACTGTAAACATCTATAAAAGAACACTGTTGCATTTCATAATGTTTTGCTGTATTGTCTAGGCCCTGGACTAAAGAGTTATTGTTTTCAGGCTTAACAGGATAATATATGAAGGCCGTGGCTCACTCGTGACAATCGTTTTAATGCTGTGTCTCTTACAGATTTTTCTTTTGCATAAAAAAGGGCTGAGAAATGGAAAATCAATATGCAGAAAATAGTTATAGGTGGCGGGTTATCGAGAATCTCTCTGTTCCAGACACCCTGGGCCGAGAGATGATGCGTAATATATGGGGTGACCTTCAAATGTCATAAATGTGTTGTGCAATAAACTGTCAATATTTGTGGTTATTTGGTGCAGGATGACTTTTACAGTAATTGGAACAGCCGTATTAAAAGCTGGGGAGCAGTCAGCTGATTAAAGACGGCCCTGCTGGCCTGTGTGTGTGTGTCTGTGTGTGTGTGTGTGTATGTGTGTGTGGAGAGCGAGCGAGAGAAACTGAGAGAGAGATGAAAGAACAGTATTACCTGTAAAGGCTTTGTATGCTCATGTATCTGTCTGTCTGATGTTCTAGTATGTAAGTAAGAATGAGAGCGACATGACTGATGGTTTATGTTAAAATCTGGATCTAAAGGAACGTTTAATATTGTGTGAGTAATGATTGGCACTCAAATGCCACATTCACACTTACATATACAATATATGGTGTGTATGTGTATGTGTGTGTGTGTGTGTGTGTGTGTGTGTGTGTGTGTGGTTGTGGGACAATAACGGCCTCTCTTTTCGCTAAAAGCCTGTAGAATTTGCCAATAGGAGTAATATTTGTAAGTGTCTGGGTACCAAGCTAAAGTGGGTCAGAGTCAGTGTTTGTGTTTGTTTCGTTGTGAGTATATGTTTGGGTCAGAAAATGGGGGCACACATCACAATGTAACGCGTGTAGGCAAAACGGAGGCAGCAAATTGCAGGAATGTGATCAGTCACAAGAGAGAAGGAGATGCTGACTTCACTCTTTCTTTTTTAACTTCTCAAATCTCATTTGATTCTTAAAAGAGGGTAGAGAAATGAGGAGAAAAAAAAGTGCGGAAAGAAAGAAAGATTACTCGTACAAAAGCTTTTGATTGAGGCAAATGGTTGCTAAAGTGGGTTGCACCATTCAGACGACGTCTCTCCCTACACACACACACCATATCATGTGTAGGCACAGAAATAAGAAAGCATTTACAAACGCTTTTTTGCACTGTGGCTGGTCACATGCTCACAGGCCGTCTTGAGCTGAAGTTAAGGCACAAAGTCAATTGCCATTATGGGGTAAATGTGTTTTAGGGTCTGAATGTGTGCATATGGGAGACTTTTCTTAATGATACAACAGTTTTTGATTTTTAACAGAAGCATTTTTCCCCCTAACTTTTACAGAGGAATTTATGAAGAGTTAAATTGCCCAGTTGAACACTACAGCTCATACACTGCTTTAAAGCATGTGCAACAGTTTTAACAGAAAATCTTGTAGGTTACATATTACTAACAAATCTTGGCATTAGTTGTAGGTATTTCAATAGTAATAATAATAATGATGATGATGATGATGAATATATATATATATATGATTAAAAGACCTGACCTGGTCCTGTATCTTGGTTTTAACAGCAAATATCAGCTTTTTATTTTCACACACACATATATAAAATAAAATACAATACAATATGTGGTTGAAAAATCTCTAGTAGGCAACTGCATCTATTTTTTTATATCAATTTTTTAGATTATTGTGAGTTGTATATATTTTGTTTTATTATTTGTTTTATTAATTGATGTTGGGTTTACAGAATAAACATACAATAAAATATAATACAATAAAAAAATAAGGTCCCACTTTATATTAAGTGGCCTTACTAGGTACTTACATCAAGAAATAAGCACAATGTACTTATTGTGTTCATATTGTATTGCAAATACTTTTGCTGCTATTGAGGTGGGATATGGGTAAGGTTAGGGACAGGCAAACAACATAGTTTTCTGAAATATATTCATGCATGTGCGTGTATTTATATATACGTAAATATATACAGTACACATACATATATTATGTAAACAAAAACATTTTTTTGGATGCGATTAATCACGATAAATTGTTTGACAACACTACTATGTATAATATTATTTAGTAATTTAATATAGTATAGTAATCTATAGTAATTTATATATCATCTATATGAAACTGAATTGTAAGCCATTTTATTCAAGTCTTCTGTTAAGAATGATAATTATATCTAAATACATTGGGCTAGACTGATGAAAGTAATTTTTATGGGTCAGATCAGAAATACCTGCACATGTTCACAGTGAAGCTTGAGTCATAAAAAGGACAGACATAAAAATAGAATGGAGGTATTTTTAAAAATATATGTACAATGTGTGTACACAATAAGTGCATTGTACCAAATGATTAATTTAAATGTAAGTACATAGTAGTTAAGGCCACTTAATATAAAGTGGGACCAAATGTATGGTAGGCAACACATGTGGTAGGTAACTGTAACTTCTCAAAGGACCTGACCTGGTCTTGTATCACATTAACTTCTCTGGAGTGTCAAACGCTTCACACAATATGAGATCCCCCTGTAATTCACAATGGTGTAACACTGCTGACATCTCACATATAAGCATAGTGACTAATTATCTCCAAGTGTGGACTTGTTGACACTCTTAGACGTTATTGGTGTGACAATTGCTCAATCAGAGCGGCCCTTCGTTATCACCGTTTTCTATCAAGCTCCCTGCCGACGTCACCTGTCAAACCCAGGGCACAGCGGTGAAACGAAGACCCTGTTGCTGACATGGCTGTTTTCTCATTTTTTCCCCCTCCCTGTATTGTTCATTTCAACACAATCTGCCATATGCTTCCCACTACAGATGATGAGAGGCTGGATAAAACGTTGGGACGTGAGTGTAGTTGGGTGGGGGTCCGGGTGATATCTCTAAAGAAAGCTTCTGAACTGTCAGCGTTCTGTCAGGTTGCGGAGAGTGGGGAGGGGGAAAGTGGTGCACATGAACTCATTGATGTGTTTGACTTTGTGTGGCGTTAGCAGATTTGGGTGGCAAAAACTGAAAGGATGGAGAACAACAGAAGAAACAAGACAGGAAAAACCTCTCTGGCGTGCGGCCGGTTTGAAGTGAAACAGAACAGTCTGTGAAATATGTCTCTCTCTGGGTCTCTGTTTCTTAGATGTTGGGGAAGAGATGGCGAAACCTGTGAGTGCTGTCCAGTTATCTCCAAGTGTGGACTTGTTGACACTCTTAGACGTTATTGGTGTGACAATTGCTCAATCAGAGCGGCCCTTCGTTATCACCGTTTTCTATCAAGCTCCCTGCCGACGTCACCTGTCAAACCCAGGGCACAGCGGTGAAACGAAGACCCTGTTGCTGACATGGCTGTTTTCTCATTTTTTCCCCCTCCCTGTATTGTTCATTTCAACACAATCTGCCATATGCTTCCCACTACAGATGATGAGAGGCTGGATAAAACGTTGGGACGTGAGTGTAGTTGGGTGGGGGTCCGGGTGATATCTCTAAAGAAAGCTTCTGAACTGTCAGCGTTCTGTCAGGTTGCGGAGAGTGGGGAGGGGGAAAGTGGTGCACATGAACTCATTGATGTGTTTGACTTTGTGTGGCGTTAGCAGATTTGGGTGGCAAAAACTGAAAGGATGGAGAACAACAGAAGAAACAAGACAGGAAAAACCTCTCTGGCGTGCGGCCGGTTTGAAGTGAAACAGAACAGTCTGTGAAATATGTCTCTCTCTGGGTCTCTGTTTCTTAGATGTTGGGGAAGAGATGGCGAAACCTGTGAGTGCTGTCCAGCCCCCCACTACTCAGCACCGGGAACGGAGTGTGGCTTCAACCTTGAAGGACTGCCCCTACTGTGGCAAATCTTTCCGCACATCCCACCATCTGAAGGTCCATCTACGAATACATACAGGTGAGTGAGAAGTCCAAGAAGCAAGTTTTAGGCATTTTCATTTATTTGACATATGTGATATATAGTGATGTACAGTGTGTGCCTAATAAACCTAATCACAGTTTTTCCTGGCGTTAATGATGCACATTTTAAACTGCCCATTTTAGTGGAATTTAAAAACTCTGAGCCCATAAATGAACTTCAGGTATGTGAGGCAGGACGCCCCGGCCCAGCAGAGTAATGATGTGAGCAGTGCTGGTCCGGTGGCTGTCAGGAGACCCTGCTGTTCCACCCAAGAGCAAGGCTGAGGCTCACTAGCAGGCACAGCTGGCCTAGTTAGCATGCAGGATAACCAGGATAAGCACTCAGAGGTCACCTTAGATTCAGCACACTGCTGTCTCTGTTTATGTGAACGAAATGTGTAAACATTGACACCACTTTATTATGTGAATTATTAATTATTATTATTATTATTATTATTAGTTTTTTTCTCAGTTATTACAGTTTTTTTTTATTTGACAACAATAATAAAAGGCTGTAATGTAATGCGTCCATACACACATTATTTATAGTAAATATAAATTTAAATACATTTAAAAATAAGACATCTAAATGAAACACATCTAAATGAAAGCCATTTTATTCAAGTCTTCTGTTAAGAATGCTAATTATATCTAAATACATTGGGCTAGACTGATGAAAGTAATTTTTATGGGTCAGATCAGAAATACCTGCACATGTTCACAGTGAAGTTTCAGTCATAAAAAGGACAGACATAAAAATAGAAAGAAGAGAGAGAGTTAAGAGAGAGAAAAGAAGGAAACAGCTTTCTATATTCAGCAAATAATGTGAGGCCAATCCGCTTCTTTCCTTAACTGTAAATGGAAATCACTCGCAGCTCAGGGAATCGATGGTTGTTATTTTTTTGGTATGTGCATACAAGGAAGAGCGGAGACCACCCAGATGGTATGTGTCCCACTTAATAGGAAGCACATAGCTGCGCTATTCTGGAGCATTAAGGTTGATTATAAAGCATGCTTAACAATGGCGCTGATGTGTAACTCTCTCAGCTTGCAGTATTTTCATCTTTCGTCGTAACAGAAGCACATGAAATACTATTACTTTTCAATACAGTACTCACATGAAGTCTGAAGAACGCTGTCATCTGCATTTGTTATTATCTAATATGGACTGGGAGGCAGTTGGAAAGAGTGATTTTTCTTGAAAGTAGGAAATATGATTCCATTTTTTTTAAATGAAAAATTTATTTTAATTTAAAATGTTATGCAGCATATAGCTAGATAATATCACACATACGAGAGTGTCAAACTTACATTTAAACAGAGAGGTTAAGGCTTTAGACAGACTGGTTATATCCTTCTAGCAGGAGAGCAGCGGATGGAGTGGGGAAATATGTTTTAGCTGAGGGAGGTTGAGTTATGCCTGCTCAGAGCAGGGGGTAAGGGTCCCCAGTAGGGCCATATTTCAGCCAAGAGGAAACAGAGGCCCTCGTCCCAACTCACTCACTCACTCACTCCGCTTGCCGGGATGGCCCACGTGTGTGCGGTGTGGCCCGAGCGCGTTTACACGCGGACGCTTCACTTTCTGTCGATGCAGCAATTTACACTGGCCCTGATGTACTTGCAAGATGTGTGACTCTTTGCTGATCGGTTATAGGTTTGTCATAAAGATTCCCGGCTGACAGACATCGGAGATACGGCACAGGTCTCGGTCTAGCTCTGCTTGAATAATTTACAGGAACAACAGACCCTTCCAATCAGGCTGAAACTATGCCGTTGACATTAAACAAATATCCTGCCCTGATTTAAAGCAATCAGACATGCGGATGACACAAAGCGGGCCTCAATCCCGATGCCGTTATCCCATCACAATGGCGTTGCTTACTGAGGAGGCCAGGGCATTGTGCGACACAATGTTAGATTAATGACTCTCTAACGTCGGCTTGAAAGGAATGAAGTGAATTTAAATTTCTCCAAAAGTTAAAGAGCTAATGTTACAGTATTAATTTCCTCTCCAACAGTGAGCGGGAAAATATCCATTAGTGAAATTAAGCACAGTTTTCTAGGTAGCTAACATTGTGCAGTGTATAGTGTGGGGCCACAGCTAATGAACACTGCAGTGGGTGATATTTCATTATACAAATTAATGCTCACATTTTAATGGGAAAGTCACATAATGAATCTAGGCTTCAGTGACAGCAATTAGAGACACAGATTGTCCCCTTCTGGACAAGGCAGTATTTAGCAGTAAGCAGCTGTAGATAAAAAATAAAAAGGTCCTTGCTCCTGACAATGGCTACGCATAACTTGAGGCTATAGGAGAACCAACACGCCAGACGAATCACCTTTGTTTGAAGAGAGACAGGGGACAGACAGGCATTGGCCGTGTGAGTTCACCTTGGTGATTGGGAGCCATTACGCATCTTGAGCGAGACTTGGTCTGGACCGAGGAGATCTGGCTCACACGGCTGGATGGAGGTTTATGGTTGTATCGAACAACATTTTGAAGGTTTACTTTGAAGAGGGAGAAAGAGCCATTAAACTCAGGTCCGTGGTCAGTTGCTACTGTTCCAAACCATTAGCATTGTAAATTACAAAGGTCACTCAGCAGTCTCCCAGTAGAAAATTAGTCTGTGTCGCCTGGTGCGTGGTTTGTGGTTTGTTTCGTTCGTATTTGTTTAGTTTTGTTTTTGTTCTCTCTGCTAATGCTTATTTGCTTACTACATGGTGAGTTAGTTCTCTAAAAGTAAGATGAATGGAAGGATTGAAGTAATGGGCCATACAGTAAAGGGTCATTTAAAATGTAAATAGAACTTGTGGGTACTACGTGTAGGGCTTGAGAACTCGAACACCTTGACATTCTTGTTTCTACATTTGGCGTAGATAAAGCATAGCTTAAGGAAGAAAACAAAAAAACACATTTATTTTTCCAGCTCAGTCAATCTCTCTCTCTCTTTCTATCCCCCTTCGGAATGCAGGCTGTCTTTTCACCATTCTGTAAAGCCATATGGAAATTCATCTTAAAGTATGTCATATCTATTAACTATTTTAATTGCCCTTCTGTAAAGGCTGTGGGTGTTTATTCTGAACTGTTACTATGGAGTCATGACAAATCATACAAATCCATATGAAATCAGTTTGCGCTGGACTTCTTCAAGTGTTGAGACTGAAAGCATTCCGTTAGAAGTGAACTTGCGAAATGATAATGGATATGTACTACTCACAGTGAGAAGTCTCTGTAATTTATAGAAAGCCTGTCACACTATACCAGATGGCAATTTGATATGTATTTTTCCTCCCTATTTTTATTAACACAGTCCATCAGCCATAAGAGTGAGCATTGGAAACTTTTTTGGGAGTTTTGCACTCTCTCATTTCAAAAGATGAAAAATAATAATCTCTTTACCTCTCTGCCTTGGTGATCCATTTTGTTTCCCTGAGGTTGTGTTGTTTGTGTGGATATCAATTAAAAGTGGATTAACGGGTACATAATGACCTTTAGCAGTAAATTGTGTGTAATGTTGCAAGGCAGGATACAGTATATTCCCCAGATGTCACATGTGCCCCTGACGTATGATGGAGCAGATGTCTTACTGAGCCCAAATGGTGCACAAAGAACATGCCACATGCACAGAGACTTACACAGGAACTTGAACACACGCTCACATAAACATACAACCAGCAAACAAAAAATATGCATACATAAATAATGGTCTATATATGCATAATAATCGATTGGCCTGAATTATAATTTTAGCATTTCATAATTTATTAGAGTAATATTTGTCCTAATATGTTTTTTTAAATTAAAAATAAATTGAAATGTTATTAGTATTTTCCTAAGCAGATGCACAAGATGGGGTGGAGAAAAGCAGATCACTCTAATTGTACTCTAATTTTGGGTACAGAATATCATTCCTTCCAGTTAAAGGAACTGAACGTTTCCTTATTGAATCACACCAAACCTCTGTTATCCTGCTCAGAGGATAAGCACTTATTGGGTTAAAAGCTCATCTTGTATGATGTCTTGAATATGCGCTTCAAACACTCTTGTGTAAAAGAACAAAAGACCCCTTTCTTTTTTTTCTTCACCCTCTCTCCTGCCCTTCACTTTATGTCCCTCTGTATATTTGTTCCTTATCAATATAGTATTGAGTTTATGTTTGAGATCCTTTATTTAGGAAGCTGTGCAGTGGGTCTGCAGATCTTCCATTCTTTTTCTGGAATGGCGCCCTCCAAATAATGATAAATTACTTGAGCACTATGCCATTTGCTAATTATATCCATGATTTACTACAGAGCCAGACTTAAATCATTCAATTCAGTCTTGCGTAACAATGCAACATTTTTTTCTGGGTTAAAAAATGTTTTCCATGTGTATAATCTAAGTGTTTATAGCCACGCACACACACATCGACAAACATGCTTTTATTTTCATTTTCCCATATCTCTCGAAACTCCCTCTCTCACTGTTTTTTTTTTTCCATCTCGCACGTCACCATTAAATTCCTGAAATCAAGCCTTGCATTTAGTTTATTGCTTATTGATCTTATAAATCTAGCTTTCATTCCAAGCCTATTCTAATTGTTGTCAGAAAGTATTTTATATCGATATTGATCGGATCATGCAAATGCAATTTAGACTCTTTCTCTTGTTAAAAGCTACTCCCTTTTCACTTTTAACAAGAATTCTTGTACATTTGCATGTGTTTCTAAACTGCCTGCATGCCTTCTTTTACAGTACATTTCATGCTGGTTAGCATTTTGTAATCCACAGTGTGAGGCTGCCTTATGAGGAATGTTCATGTGCACCACATATGGTGTGCTTATATCATTTAGACTATCTTCACTCTCAAATGAGGCCCTTTTATTGGGTGCATTTTGGACTGAGGGGTCACAGTTGTCCTCCGGGGGGAATAAAGAGCTTCTGTGGGGCTTGATTTATCCTCACAATGATAAACTGCAAATAGAGAATGTCCACAGAACAGCTCCACCACCAAGGTAGAGGCTTGACAGCAGACAAGGCCAGGAGAGAGACAGAAAGTGAGGGAGCGAAAGACAGCAGCAACCAGCAGCACCACAAGCCTGCAGTTCCCCATGTGAGCAGAGATAACATCCAGACAGTTTTGTTGTCAGTTGAAAATATGATCTCTGTAGTGGACTGAAGGCACCATATGGTGATATGTTTTTTATGGCGCTGACGTGAGTGATGGCTCACTCCTAGGATCTGGATTGAGCTGGATCGACCCGTATTGAAACTCCTCCCTCCTCTCAAAAAGGCTGATGGACTGTTTACTAAGTGATAAATGTGGTCGAATGCTGCAGAATGTGAGATTTAGAGAGGCTTGACGTAATCCCTGCCATGATTCCTGTCAAATATTTACATGTTGTTTTTCTTTTTGCTCTTCTTCTGACAGGTGGAACAAGCCCAGGGTTCCTGCTGAGCTGTTGGCACCTTTATTATTACTGCTGTACTGACATCAGCTCCTGTCTGTCTTTGTTTCTTTCTATCACTCTCACTGTAGGTGAAAAGCCCTACAGGTGCCCTCATTGTGACTATGCAGGCACTCAATCAGCTTCTCTGAAGTACCACCTGGAGCGCCACCACCGTGAGCGACAGAATGTAAGTGGCCCCTCAGCCAACCACCCTCCATCTTCTGAAAACAAGGATGACCACACCAAGAACAGCAGTAGCAGTGGGGTCTTTGCTCGCCCCGATGTCCTTCGCGGGGTCTTCAAAGGGGTGATGCCCTCTGGTCTTGACTTCAGAGGGGGTCAAATGCTCCCACACCAGTGGGTACCACCAGGAATGCTCTCACCCAGAGACAGAGACCGTGAAAGGGAACGTGATCGCCACGGACCAGGGTCAGAGCCCACCTCAGAGAGCATGAAGAGTCCTGAGGGGCCAGCCTCTGCAGGGGACAGTCCTGCCAGCTTCTCCGACCTGGGCCGAGCTTACCAGAGTATGGTGGGAAACGGCGTCAACTTCCAGGGCTCCCTGCAGGCTTTCATGGACAGCTTTGTCCTCAACTCCATGAAGAAAGAAAAAAGGATGAGAGAGAGTCAGCTGCATGGCCAGCACTTTAGCCAGGAGAGTGCCGAGACCAAGACCAAAAGAGCCAGTGAGGCAAACCAGGAAGAGAATCCCACCAGTGTCGTCAAGCCAGCTGAGGGTGGCCGCTCCCAGTATGAGCCTCTGGATTTGTCCGTTAGACCTGAAGCAGGGTCTCTCCCTGGAGCCTCCATCACCATCCAGGACAATGTTGCTTGGCATGGCTGCCTCTTCTGCTCCTTCACAACTGCCTCTGTGGAGCTGATGGCCCTCCACCTGCAAGCCAACCATCTGGTTAAAGGCAAGTGTGGCCCAGGAAAAGATGCTAAGGAGCACCTCCTCGGAGAGCCTTCCCATGCAGGAAAAGCTACTGGCTTGGCTCCACCACCACCAGGCCTTCTTCATCACCATGAGGGAGCCCCGTCCAGGGACAGAGAGACTGAGTCTGGGGAGCTGAAGGGACAAGCAGGCTGGTCCAACCATCTGGAGCAGCCCCCGCATGGAGCCTCCATGGGCACGTTCTCCAGTGACTTCTACAAGCCCTTTGGTCCTGTGTATAATGGCTCTGGTAGAGGGCCTGTGGGATTCCTGGACCAGCAGCAAATTCAGCCCAGTGATATGGGTGGTCAGGGCCCCCTGGACGACCTATCCGACAAGGCGTCCTGCAGCGAAATAGAGGCATCTGAAGAACATGGCGGCCAGTCTGAAGAAGATGAAGTAAGTCGTGACAAATCATTGCCTAACCTCGCTGCTACAGAGAGGCATATGCGTTCTGATGATGAAGAGGAGGCAGAGGAAGAAGAAGAGATGGAGATGGGTGACACTGAGGAGGAGGACCGTGGATCCATGCAAATGCTTCCTGAATCTCCATTGTCAGGGAAGGACATCCAAAGATGCAAGCTGACTATGGGCCCCCAAAGCGCTGGCCTTTCTCCTCCTCAGCCTCCCACCCCTGAGAAGCAGTGGCAGCAGCAGCAGACAGGCCTTGGTCTTCTCTCCCCAAGCGGTGGTCCTCCTGGCCTGGTAAAGCCTGGTCAAGCCCACCTGGAGCATCAGATGAACATGCTATCTGTCCTGCGGGCCTACAGTTCAGAGAACCTCGCAGCCTTCAACGGAGGCCTTGGCGGCAGCTCCAATGGAGGAGGCAGTGGCACCAGCAGCATGAAAAGAAATGACCCCTCTGGTGAGTATGACAACATAAAGCCCTGTTTTAGTGTCATAAATCAATGAACAGTGACTTTCAAAATGACTTACTGTTATACATACACACTCTCAGACTAGTAAACACATGGTATACACTGCATTATGAGCAACACATCATCACTACAGCATCTACTATTTCTTATCTGTGAAGAAATTACACATTGAGACATTTGTTCAATGCTTCCCTCATTGGTCAGAGCTGCACCAATACACAAACTCTCTAAAGGAGCAATATTTGCTTTTGAGTGATTTCAACCTCATTTCGGGCAAGTTTAGAGACCATCAGGATGACAAAGTAACATATTAATCTTTATTATATTGTCATTTTACAAGAGCTCCAGTCCCACCCTCTCTCTTTCCCTCCTCTTTCTGGGAATAAGGGTGTCTGCTTTGGAACAGACCAGGAGCTGATGGTCCCTGTGTCATCTCTAGCTCACAGAACTTAACTATCTTAGCTTTCATAAAGGCCTCTCCCAAAAGCCCATTACTTTATAAGAGCCCGGGATCTATGGCCTTGTGAAAAATGATCTGTCAGCTTTCATGATTCTGCTAAGGTTACTGGTGCTCCTTGAGACTACTGTGTTTCACACTGCCCTTTCTGAACATTTGGTGATAAAAAGAAAAAGAGAGTAACTGTGAATGAAAAAAAAGAGAGTAAATCTCTAAGAACTGAATTTGTAGTTTGGTTTGGGCAGCTGTAGTAGAAAGTAAGTGGGTACCACAGCCTTTAGATGTCCTTTTTAAGGCAATTTCTCACAACTTGAGAGATAGGTAATAAAGGTAATAAAACATATGTATCCTACATTTTCCTTTTGTTCTTAATATATTATTCATTAAGGAGACAACTCATTTTCAATTCTGGAGTTGAGACAGACGTTCTTAGCTTGGTGCTTTACATTGGTGTTATTACTTGTACTCTGCAAACACAGGAGCAAGGCAGACATTATTTTTTTTGCTCCCAGTAAAACAATCTTACAGCAAATAGGTGTAGGATTAACCAGGGGGTTTATACTGGCACTGCAAGTATTTTTAACAGACGTTTTATTAAGCTGCTTCATTCTCACAAATCTTAATACTTACTGTTCCTTTAATTTGTAACTAGCAAATTGCTCATTCAATCCAGTTTAGTTGTGTTGTGTATTGTGCTTGATTAGTAACCACTAATTTATCAACAGTGATTTGGATGACAAAAAGTCTGTATAGGTCTGAGTTATTTTAGTAATAATTATTTTATTTTAAGTAGTTATTTCAATATAAGCTGTCTATAGGTAGGCTACTACATCTGGTATTTTTTGTCCAGTGACATTTGGATCTCTGTTTCACCATAATGTTGACTACAAGGGAGTCAACAACTAACACTCACGTCAGCTGAACTAGTCGGCAATGTGAGTCAGTTATCTTGAGAAAGAAAAGGAAAGAAAAACAAAAAGGCTAAATCCTCTAGTCACAACCTTGCAAAAACATAAAAAGTCAAAGAGATGAACACATATTTGTGCAGCTTTGTTAAAGAATTAAGCATCTTTCCACCATGATAGTTTGAAGTTACAAAAGAAAGGAATGCCATAGTCCGTTTTTACACCATCTTTCATACAAGGGATACAATAGAGAGAAAAGTGAAGTCTCAAGACTGCCATGTGTTTCACTTTCCCCCTTCAAAACGGTTTACATTAACAATTAATGGTGCTTTTGACCTTTCAATTATGGAAAATTTGTCTGTCATGGAGGAACCTGTTGCATTTTTAATATTTAGAGGAGGTCATTCACTTGGCTGAAAATGAATGCTAGTTTTTTGTCATCGTAGTGAATGTATCGTATTGTAATATCCTTCTTTAATCAAAGACATTTGAAAAGTGCCCTTGTGACGTCCTCCTCTCCTGCTGCTGTGAATAGGGACTGACCTTTAGAGATAAGGCTTTGTCTACAGAACAAAAGTTTTTTGTTAGGCATTTTTAAAGCATGACTCCATCAGTTTGTTGCTGTTGGATGCTGACGGGCAGCTGAGCGCCTCTGTATATGCTGTGACAGTATGTGGGCATGTTTGAGTAATACATACAGTAAAACCATTGAATGACCACAAGGAGAACTCAACAGACACTTTATTCTTTCTTTTCTGAAGGGAATGTGTTAGTATTAGCGCTGAACCTGTTCTACATACTTTGTGTGCGTGTGTGTGTGTGTTTGCGTGTGTGTGTGAAAGAGAGAGAGATTTCGACACCCGGGGAAGGTACTCTACTAAAATGCATTCTTAACTACTATTTCTGTGTGTTGTTTTCCATTAAAATATGCATGTATCCTTAAAAAAAATATGTAAAAAACAAACAAACAAACAAATATAATAGATCTGACAGATTTTTTCTCCTTGGAATATGCATGCTAAGAAAAGCAAAAAAAAAAAAAAAGTCTAGCTATTGTTTTAAGGATGTTTAGATATTTTTACTGGAAAACAAGACAGATATAGTTGTTAGGAAATTTGATTTTTTTTTGTACATTTTGTGCATTCACACATCTCCTCTGTATTATAGTATATGTACTTTGACAATTCACACCTCACCAGTGTTGTGCATATAGCCTATAGCATAGAAATTGACTCAAAAATACAAAAACAGCACAAGCACTTTTTTCAGTTTGAAACCCAAATAGATGTAAAATACCATACAGGTGGAACTATCTGATCTGGAGTATTTTGTGCTTGGGTCTGTTGTACAAAATTGAGTGAAACACATTCTGCACAATTCCTTGGGGCTGGGCATAGATGAAGCAAATAGTGCATAAATCATTAATATTTAGAAATCTCAGCTGAATATGGCATGCCTTGACATCCGGGATGGAATGAGTGAGAGTCATTTTAAAGTGACACCCTCATTATTATACCGCTTTTATAAGACACACAAACACATTTACTCTCTCTTGCATGTCAAGTATCTTACATTCATAGTATTGTAGATTAACCCTCTCCCATATTTAAACACAATGCACATTTTACTTCAATCACAACAAATACCAGAAAGCTAAAACTAAAAAGCTATTTCTTTAATAGCCTACTACTATCTACTCAGATTAGCGTTAAGATTATTATAGCATTATTTGTAGAAAAAAAGGCTTGAAACACAGCATAGCATAGTATATTAATCATGAAGTATATCTACGATTTAGCGCCAAGTTCTATCAGACACCTCAGACTGTGTGTAGTCTAGTGGATTAGCTTTGTATTGTTCACATTGCTTAATGGCCTTGTTCCATTGTGCAAGGCAGCCATTGTGTAAGTGTATCATATAATCAATACTAGGTCTGTTAGTGGCATATCTTCATCTATACGTTGCACATGTCTCGAGCATTGTGTTCTTTCTTTTGCTCCTCTTTGTCTTCCCCTTAATTTAACAACATATCATCACAAGCTACGCGTGTTATAATAACCACACATCAGTCCCGGTTATCAGCGGCACCTGTGCGAAATGTTGTTAAGGCCAGCAGACAGTAAAAACCTAGCCTTCAACATTTTTTAAATGTTTGCTGGTGCGCTATAAGAATCGAAACGTGTCACCAGAAAAAGTGCTTTCATTTATTGTGAAGCACCACTTTACAGCAAAGAAAAAAAAAGGACCAACGAGAGAAATGAGATTATTAGTGTCCTTTCCGTCTGCCACCATCACTCTCAACGAGCTTTTTTCCACACACTCTCTACCCTCACCCCGTTTTGTTTTTGTTGTTGTTTTCATTGTCGTGGTCGTCGTAGCTTGCAGTGTACGTAAACAGTTATCTTGATTCACCCGCCCTGTCTCCATTAGCCCTCATGAAAAATGACCACATTTAGATTTCTCACAGGAGCAGTTGCGAGAGCACGCTTGTAGTACAGAGCGCAGTTACCCGGCCTGTCTAAAGTGTGTGAATTTTCATCTCTAGCCCTGCTTAATAGTATAAAATGTGCGTCTGTGTGAGTGTCTGAGGCCCTAGATGGTGCTTAGGAGCCCAGGTTTCAGATGTTTACCGCTAAAAGCCGTCCAGCCACCACCCACAATCCAGTTTTGCCACACAGTCAAGACATTCCTCAAGCCACGGACAGAGAAAGAGAGATGAACAGAAAAAAATGTATGTATAGAGAGATCAGACTTGAAGGACTGCTGAAAGAGGGGGCTGCACACCCCAACCGTCCTAGTTCATAAGGCCATGACACCCCCTGGTGGAAAAGCAGTGAACCCTGCCCCCATTCACTCCAAACCACTCAGTGAGAGTGACAGATGATTGGAGACAGAGAAAGATAGAAGGAAATAGGGACTGGGTGTATGAAAGCGAGTGAATAAATGTAAGTCAGAAAAGAGATGTATGCTTAGGAGGATTGGTTTATGTCTTTCCTTTTCTTCTTCTATGCAAATCCCTTTGGGTTTATCAATTTACAATGTGTCCTCCTTAATATGTCGTGGCAGACTTACAAACTCTGAGTAGAAAAGGCCTTTATAAACGCTGCAGTTAAAGAAGACGTGTGAATATACTCTAGGAATTCCCAGTATTTTTACTTGTTTCATTTTAGCGCATGTCTGCTAGCCTGTGTGCGTGTTAGCGTGTATCTTGCCCAGCAGACAGGAGTGGGTAGTTAAATGTAAATGGTGTTTAGTCACCAGTGGCCAATTATCACTGTCAGGAGGGTGTAGGATCAGAGCCTCTCTTGGGCGGGTCTTGACCCCAGTCTGGTGCGGGTCAGAGAGAGTGCACTACTTCCTGTCTTCCTGTCAGCCTTAAGTTCATCTTTCCCATCTTTCCCCCCCTCGCTAACTTCTTCTAACTTTATATGCCTCTCTACCTCTCACTCTTTCTCTTGTTTTCAGTCTGTCTCTCTCCAGTGAGTGTGGTAATAAAGTGCTCGTGTGAGTGTGTGTTGTTCTCTGACCAGGTTCTGTTATGATAATTAAAAACATAAGGTGCCTGCAATGCGCACAGTGAACCCACAGATGTAAAGGAACAGACGCGACTTGTGACTTTCCTTTC